TGGCTGCAAAGAAAGCAGACCGAATGGGGCTCAGGTGTCATGTGACCAAAATACCAAAAGCAAATAAAATGTATTTAGCTTCATATTTTTGCATCAATAGCGGTGTAGTGCTATCCATATTACAATATATGGTGTATCCTGTTAAGTCTTGCTATCCATTTAAAGAGATGCTGTCAGGGTAAAATAAAATCTTAAAGGAATGTGTCTGCATGTCTGATCTATTTTTACACCAGTGACAGAGATACAACACCCCTTAAAGCAATCCTGTTAGGTTTAAGGGAAGGTGCCCTGCAATTGGAAGTGCTATTACAGTTATAATGAAAATGATTCCATCCTCATTGCAAATCCGGTTCATTGGCAACATGTATAGACTTTCAGCTGTTTGCAATGAACAAATCAAACATAAGCAATTAAAATAGTCTCTAAGACCCCTAATGTCACCTGGGGACCCCCAAAGAACATGATGAAGCAGAGATCTGCTTCATCAGCTTCTCTGACTAGTAGCCAGAGAAATGACAGCTGAATATGGAATTAATGTAATACACACCACTTCCGCATTCAGACCTCAGAGGGAAATCAGCAAGTAGGAAGATGCTGACCTCCCTCCCATCTTCCTCCTGACACCCTCCCAAGCCGGTCCCAGGCCACAGAGTGGGCAGCAGAGCCCCGTATTGAAGGTGAGGTTGCATGAGCGTGGAGATGGTGGCACTGCAAAAGAGGGGGGGGGGGGCGCAGGTCAGCACCTACAAGCGATCAGACGGCTATAGAGCCACCGATCACTTGTATGTGAAACAGCCGGTAACGGCTGTTTTCATTTGACAGTTTTTTTTTTTTCTGCCCGTGCGTGCGCTAGGGGGCACGAGCAGAAAAGAAAAGCGTTTATTTAGGGCAAACCACCAATGGGAGCTCGCCGTCTGTCCCTTTTTTTTTTTACAACGGGCAGATGGCAAGCAGTTAAATACTTTTCTTCTACATTGAAGGACACAGCTTGATGATGAGCAATATAAAAACTGAAGGCCTTCCCACCTTGAGGATATAACCCCTCTCACTTCATATAAATATAAGAACATTTGTTTTTTCCATAATTTGCTCAAAAAGAACATTCAGATATTTGCAGGACCCCGATTGTCAATTGTTTGAGCCCATAAAGTGGATCTCCATTTTTTTTTTCTTCTTCTTTGCTGTGTTAACAGTCTTGCTGGTATGGATAAATAAATTGTAATTAGAATAAATTAAATGCTTTCTTTTTTTGGAAGAAAATGCTTCCCCAGACTGTTTTGTGCTGTATATGTAACTGGAAAACCTAGGCATTTGGTCACCTATGCAGAAGAGTAGACTGACAATCTGTAATCTCTAATGCAGGGGTAGCAAACCTCCGGCCCTCCAGCTGTGGTGGAACTACAAATCCCATGAGGCATTGCAAGATTCCCACAGCCACAGACATGACTCCCGGAGAGAGATGCATCATGGGATTTATAGTTTCACCACAGCTGGAGGGACGGAGGTTTGCTACCCCTGCTCTAATTCCTCCCTTCAGAAGAGATTGTTTGCCCATAGCCCTGCAGTAACTTTTTTGTCCCCAAGCACTTTCAGGTGTAAATGAGGCATGATACAGGGGGAAGTTCCCCAAGGGGGGCACATTAAAAACCTAACAAAGGTAGGTTCTAAACCTTTCTTACTGCAGGCTATCTTGTCTTGCTGACACAACAGTAAGTGAGGGGTAAGCGATGGTAATCTCCTTCTAAAAACATGGACTTCTACTCAAAGTATAAACAGATACTAGTTCTGTTCTTCCTGAGAGATTTAGTGTTCTCAAAGTAGCTTTGGAATTATAATTCCTCAAGTTTGCTTTTGGTGTCTCCTCCCAGTTGTAAACAGTTGAAATGGTTCCAACAGGAGCCTCCTAAGATCATCATAAGATACCCAAACTTGCTTTTCAAAGTCACTGCAATTTATAGCTTCTCTTTCCTTGTTTGACTCTTTTCTTTAACTGTCGCATTGATGCTCTTTTTTTAATTTGATGTGTAAAAGCATCGGAATGCTGAAATGGGGAACTGCTGTCTTTAGTTTTCATTTTTTATATGGTAGCCTTTCAAAAACCTTGCTCCTTTTAGATAGCCTACAATTATTCTGTTTATGTACATGGGCCAGCCAAATTTGGCTTTACATAGTCTGGCTCTGCTTCCTGCTTAGTAGGTCTAAATGTTATTGTAACTTGCTGGTCCTCTAATTTCACTGAGAGTCAGTGTGATTGAAAATGGTAGTCTCTAATGTGGTAATACTCCTACAATGCTCCTGGTAGCCAGAGACCCAGTAATCTAGACTGGCTAGGTTTAAGGTCACTTAGGGGAGCTTAGGAGCAGCGTTTTGTTTTATTCATGACAAGAAAGAAGAAGTTTTTACTCAACATAAAAGTTCAATTTAGTGTTGCTGCCTGAGCTCTATTTTAATGACTGTCCACTTTTCCAGCTGTAACAGCCACTTTGAAATTAACTTTTATTCACAAGCGGTTTTCCCATTGTAATAGGTTTTATGTGTTTTATTATGCTGCTTTAATAGGGTAAAAGTATCTGTTGTTTTTTTTTTTGCTCCACAGTCCATTTGGTCCACCACGATGATGCACCCTGGCCCGTCAGCCCTTGAGCAGCTCCTGATGCAGCAAAAGGAAAAGCAGCAGAGAGGGCAAGGATCCTTGAACCCTCCACACTGAGAGAGAAGGGGAGAAGAACCCAGCGACTTATGGCATGACGGGTTAGCAGCACAGGACAGGATATGTCCTGAGCCCTGAGGAGGGCAGCCCTCTCTCCCCCCTCACCGATCTGGGGGGGAGTGCGTGTGGGGGAGCATCCAGCATATCCCACCAAATCTGAAACCCCCCTGCCCCGCAGGCGACAGTTACCTGACGGACACAGCAGGAAGTTCCCATCCAGAGGAAGTTTGGGACTTCTTGAGTTTGAGGGAAATGGGGTATCGTGCCCCTATCCTTCTCGTTATTTGTGCATGCCTCTCACAGCACCCCCCCAAACCTCTGCCTAACACACGGAGGGCAAATATCCCCCAGCAGTGAAGGCAGGCGGGGGAATACAGGAAGAACCCTCCCTTCAGGATCTGAGTTTTTATTTCTAAGTAGTGGGTGCAGAACGAACACCCCCATATCCACTTTTCAGCCGATTGTCAGGAACTCTCTCCATCAGAGAAGGCAGAGGATCTGGTCCCCTCTCATCCACCAGCTTGTGCTGGCTGAGGGAGGTATGATTGACTGGGTGGCTTTACTTTTTCTTTCCCCTCTGTGGGAAATGGGTGAGGGGTTGAGTGTCTGTCACAGTTATGGATGCTTGCTTGTCCCCATTGAGTGTCCTTAATCTACTTTTGGTGTCTGTCTTTCCCTGCCTGCTTAATTGTCATGTGTGTTTGTGTGTGCGCGCGCTCAATGTCCCCTAAAGCTGTGTATTGCAGGATGGGTGCTGGGATAGTTGGGGGGGTGCTTTTTAATGTGGGGCACTTAGGGGCAAGACGAGGCTGACTGTACAGCCTCAACGTTCTTGCAGCTAGACTGCAACTGTAGGTTTGTTTTTTTTTCCCCATTCCTTTTTATTCTGCCTCTTGGGGAGTCCCTTCCATAAAAAAAAAGAGGTGACAGAAGTATTGGATCAAGTTGCAATGCTGGGTATAAGTGCCACAGCTTATAGCACAAAATATGAACACGAACTGTTCTGTCCTCTTCACTTCTCCAGCATCATGAAGAGCATTGCACACTAGCAGTGGGGGAGCTGGGATGTTTGTGATGAGTGAGCAGGATATACACTGATCAGGTAGAAACGTGATGTGAAAAAGCAAGAGTTTCTTCATGTGTCAATCTGGAAGGAAGTAAGAATGGTTCTTCTACGTAGAACTGTCATAGAAATCCCCCCCATAAGTGTGAGTGCGTATACCAGGGGGTACCCCTGGTGCCCTCAGCACTACATACATGGAACATACATGTTGCGCACTGTTCGGGGCCGGACGTCTTGTCCACAGTTTCATTCTCCTGGAAGAAGCCAGTTCTTGCTCACTGGTAAGAGAAATAGTAGGTGGTAAGGTACCCTTCCGGCGATCCTTCTTTTAGGAGGATCTAGAGAGTGTGGAGACTTCTATTCACTCCCACCTTTCCCTCGTGTTCTTGTGTGAGCACCGTCTGCTCGGATCTGCTTTACCATTAATAAACTCAACTTCTCTACAGCTACTGGCTTAACTTGTGTTATTTCTTGATCATACTGTACAGGCAGATTCAGAGAGGGTAATATGCAGGTATCAAGTGAAATTGACAGATTTATTTTGTTACTTCTTTGAACACCAGATAGAAGTAGACGGTGCAGCAGAGACGAGTTCTTCCCCCATCTGCTTTTTCTTATCTGCTTAGTGTATAGAAACTAATGTTGCTCCTAGTGGACCTCTAAAATCCCCATTTAAAACCGTGCTGTTTAAATTAAGGCCCTAGTCACAAAGGTGTCTTTTTACCTTTCTCTTCATCCTGTTTATGTTGATAAGAAGGAAACGATCTCCAAAATCCAACATTTATGTCTGATAACGGTTGATGATTTGGCTCACCAGCACCTTCCACAATGAAAATATCCACTTCATGGAGGGGTAACTGTTAAAAGCTATAGTCATATGGAACACGCTGCATATTTTTGCTATAGGGTTGATGGAGCTCGACAAGATGTTTAATGTACCTGTGAAATTTTTTTTATTTATAAATACAGCTATCTATGCTGAGCAGATCCTAAATTCCATATAGATATTTACAACTGCAGTGTCAGTGAACACAAGAACACAACCACGCTCTGTTTTTTACTTTTTTGAAGTATTTATAGCAGTCATAAGAATCTACAAATAGTTCAAACTATTGGAACAAAAAGAAAAATGGTAATAAGTGTTTTCAATGTTTGAACCTAAAATGTCTATAGTTGCATTAATAACTGTGCCTGTGTTTATGAAGAACATATGAATGTGACCCTACATATGCGAATTCTGTCCAGACCTTCAAAATGCAACAATGTTATTCTGAATATGGATACTTTGGATGTCTGGAACACGGCAGGTGTTCCAGTGCGCACTAGCGGCTGCAGGAATTCACATACTGGACTTTCTGTTTACAAAGGCTGATGGGAAAATTCCAAACTTATCGTGACATTCTCCTTCCCACCACTCCTCAGACACTGCAAGAGAAAGACAATACATTTTACGTTTAGCTTATGCCAATCGCATTTCTATTTTCAGTTCTGTAAAAGTATCTGTATTTAGTTTCAGTGTTCAGTAATATAATATAAAAGGGGTTTACAGTGTAGTAACCGTAGAAACTTTTCAGTTTGCTGGAGTTAGCTTGGTGAAAAACTTTTGCCCTCACTTTTTCTAGATTAACAGCATGGATGGGGGAAGCTCCCCTGCCGAGTTATTGTATTTTGACAAGCGGAGGTTTCATCTGTCAGAATACCCAAACAATGACTCAAGCTAATTGTCTGACAAAAATCAAATTTGTCAATTGGAGTGCTGTTGACAGGGCTGTGACAGACCATCATGTCCAATTCTACAGTTCTGTCACCAACACGTGCCAGTACGCAGTTCCGATCCTACCATGCTGTGACACCCACTGTCTCTTCCAACAGAAATATAACAGAGTTTAAAATATGGTTCTGTGCTCTTCACAGAGACGAGGATACTTTAAGTTCTTAGAGCGTTTAAAGCTTAATGATTTTTAAAGATCATTTTTAATTTAAAACTGTGTAGAAAAATAAACAAAAAAAGACCAAATAAAACCGTAAACAAAAGGGAACTTTCTTCCAAACCAAGAGAAATAGTCCATTCTCCAAAGCTGTAGATCTTACTTGCTTACTGAGGACAAAATAAGTCAAGGCAACTGGACTTGCTGTGTTTTTGTTGGACATTTCACTGGGCATCCAACCAGCTTTCTCAGTTCAGAATTCTAATTGAATTGCAGCCAAAGTCTGCTTTGTTGGAAGAGCACAGTACAGCCACCACTTCATCTACCATCTTCCTACACACTATTCTTTATAACGACATTGCTGGTATGCTTTCCCTAACATATCTTTAAATGTGGCGTAATGCATATTGTGCCTGGCACAATGTTACAGCCTGTGTTTTCACAAACACATCTAGCCTGGGATCTAAAGGATCTGTTGCAGTTTTATTCTACGCACACACCCTGTCCTATTACTGAACAGACCTGAAAATCCCCAATATGATGCAAGTCATCACATTTCCATGGATTTTATTAGCTGATGTAAATACCACTCACCTTTATTCATGACTTTTATTACATCTCCTTTTTTAAATGGCAGATCTTCAGGTTGGGAGGCTTCATAATCGAAGAGGGCTGTTACACTCATGTCTGCTTTCTCTTCTGACCGAACAGGATTTTCTGCATTTTCCATTCTTACCAGAGGTTCTTCTGCCTAAGTGTCAAACATACTCATTTCAGCTACAGCAACCTGTCGGGAAGATCCACTTTCAAACTAGCAGTATCTCTAATTTTGGCCCCCATGTTTCTATCCCAACAAATTATCTTGTTTTAACCCAATATACTGTACAGTAAAAATTGTCAGAAAAACTAGATACACATAAAAGGACAGTTTTACAATTATTAATCTTCCTGAACTTTGGACATTTAAATATTTTACAAATCTGAAGTGCCAGTAAGTCATGTTTTTTGTTAAAGGATCTTGACTCCAAATTTGTAGACTGCTAGCAGTAAACAAGTTTTGGTTGATTGATTTTCATGCCGATGGGCAGTGGCTTTCAAGGTGCGATCAGGGGCTTAACAGACCCCCCTTGGACCTGTGGAGTGGTTACCAACATAGCCAGTTCCTCCTCTGTCCCAAAGCCTCAGGAATTGGACAGACGTCTCACTGGGTTTGAGGTTTTGTGTAGAAACGGGACCCCAGTCAGACAAGTTCTGTCACTTGCTTATTAGTCTCTGCCTGACCTTGACTACTGTCCCCCATTTTAACCAAGTGGGAATAAGAACTGGGTATGTCCTTCACTGTGTCTCACAGAAAACTATTCTATATTGTGCTCATGAATCGTCCATCACAAATTATTTTCAAGAACAGGCCTATAAGGTCTTGTACAGATGGTACAGAGTACCATCTTTCCTACATAAGATAAATACACTGTCTTCCTGTTGGAGATGTAGGAAGGGGTTGGACACAAAGTTACAAGTTTTTTGATCCGGCCCTAAATTGTGTCTGTTCTGGGAGTCTGCGTGGGATGCCATCAAACAATTGGTAATAGAAGGACTATAGTATGATCCAGCTTTCTTTTTATAGCACAAGACTTTCAGCTCTAGATCTAGCTATAAATCTTCCCCATCCCATCAGTGGAGAATGGCAGGGCGGCGGAGTTAGCTTCAATTTTTTTTAATGTTTCTTTATTTATTTTTTTAAACTTTTTTATCACTTTTTTCATTTCTTATTTTTTTTATCAATTTCATTTTTTTTAGATTTGTTTATCTTATTTACTTTATAATTTTTTCTTATTGTTTTTTTTATAATTTTCTTATTTTTTAATAATTTGTTTCTATTATTTTTTACTTTTTAATCACCTTTTTTTTATTTTTTTTATTTACATTTTTATTTTTTTTATCAATTTCAAAAAAAAATTCTCACTTAACTTTATTGCTATTACAATAAAGTTAAGTGCTGCTGGGCCTCGGTGGCCATGTGAGGAATCCGGGCCTGTGTATATGTCCTTCCATGGCCCTTAAGAGAACTATGTGGAAAAACACTTACCTCATAGTTCTCTTTTAAATCAGTGTCACTCAACCACATTTTACATGTACTGTAAATCTGTCTTGATAAAAACACATTTTAGTAAATGGGGTTCTTCGACTGAAAAAAAAACTTGCTAGATACTAACAGTGGCCGATGAGTTCTAATGGGCATTTTATTGGAAAAGAAGACTATACTAAGGGAAATATATAGACTGTCCTGAAAACACTAGCTGTTGGGTTTGCAGATCCAGTAATCTGCAATGTGTTACATTTGTGTTCTGAGTTTATGTATCCTCTAAAAAAGATTAGGCAAAACATATCCTAATGAGAGGTCAGTCTGAACATCCAAATATCATCTAGTCCAGCTTTGTGCATTGTTTCGGGGTTATCCACTGGAAATATAACCGTATAATATAAAGGCATCCTATAGTACACACAGACATTCTTACATGTACATCTGTGCACTTGAGTTTCAGGCAATTGTCTGTGCTTAGCTCCCATGCTCTTTCCACATTATCTGTAGTCAGCGGTACATCTGTTTCTCCATCTCTGAAACTAAACAGATGACAGTTTGGTTTGCTAATCCTATACGGCACATAGTTACACATGAGTGCATTTGGTACATTGATTTCAGAGTCATTAAAGGATGTGCTTGAAGCAAAACATTTCCTTGATGGGAGACGAGCCAGAATATGCAGCACAAAACGCATAAAATAGCACAAAGCAAAGAGAATGGAGAGTACCAACTTTAACTATCTGAACCACCCAACATCAAACCTGGCTATATCTACCATACTACCCAGCATATCGTTTGAATATGTCATCCTGACCAAACATCTGCATATTGGAGGAACCCCGCTCTAATTTTCTGAGCCCCACTTTCATGACCTGAATCTCTGAACCCTATTGCTAATACTAAGCTATATGGGAAGTATGCTTTTATTACATCATCCTTCGCTTTATTGCTTGAAAGTTCCACATACCCAGTATGGTGTACAGCAGGGATACGCAAAGTCTCAAATTACAAATCCCATGAGGCATTGCAAGACTCTGACAGTCGCAGTCATTTCTCCCAGAGGCAGATGCATGATCAGATTTGTAGTTTGACCACAGCTAAAGGGCTGGGGTTTAACTACCCCTGGTGTAAAGTATTCTCTAATCATTTCTTGTGTTTCCCTTCCATGCGTGTACCCTTAGGTCTTCGACTATGGATGTAGCTTGCTGGATGAGTATGGGATACATGTACTATCTCCCTCACATGATAGCACTTCAGAAGTTTCAAGAGCAGTGAAAAGTAAAATGTCTGTGAAGGTTCTCATTCATCCAGGTTGTGGTATATCTGTAAAAATAAGACAAGGCAACTGGACTCGCTGTATTTTTCTTGTAGACGTTGTACTGAGCATCCAACCAGCTTTCTCAATTCAGAATGACTTGTACAAAAAATGATCTGGGAATAAATATGGGGAATGTCACTCCAATCCACATAATCTGTTAGTCACAACCAGGTGTTGATTGTATTTCCATAATTGGAGTCTAGGAGGTGTTATTAACCTGCCCAGAGAGAGAGGTGTTTAAACAGCATTGTATGTGGCAGACAATAGATGGACTGGTTTAAACGAGGTGTGAAAGGCCATTTATGTAAAAAATGGAGAATAGAGGGGTGGGGGAGGGTGTGAGTGAGACATCTATTGTCTGCCACACACAATGCTGTTTTAACACCTCTCTCTGGGCAGGTTAATAACACCTCCTAGACTCCAATTATGGAAATACAATCAACACCTGGTTGTGACTAACAGATTATGTGGATTGGAGTGACATTCACCATATTTATTCCCAGATAATTTTCCGTACAAGTCATTCTGAATTGAGAAAGCTGGTGGGATGTGCAGTGAAGCGTCTTCAAGAAAAATACAGCAAGTCCAGTTGCCTTGCCTTAAAATGGGAATTGCTGTAAACATCTGTGACATATGACGTCATAATGGACTGTTTGTTCAGTGGATTTTTAATATTCTCCAGTGTAACCCTTTTACTATTAGCTCAGAAGAGCTTACCTGAGCTTGATGGCGCAGGGAGTCGTCTTGAGTTTACTGCTGATGAGAATCAACAGATCTCCATAGGAAAGCTTGCGAGATACCTGTATGGCTACTGTGTACTTGTAATACACTTTTACAAGGTATGATGGTGGTGTTACTGCTTTTTCCTATGAACAAGAGAGAACAAGGTATGAAGGACTTATGAAGACTTCAATCATTTTGAAATATTTGTTTGGATTTTCCTTACTGACCCCAGTTTGAAAATCAAGTCTCTAGTCCCACATATTCTCTTCAAGTGCTAAAAGTTTAAGGGGAAACTGAATCTCCCTCTTGCATATGTTTTGATTGACACATTCGCTGCTTTATAAATAATCCTATGTTACGTTCACTCAGAACAAATGTTTTAGAGTTTGGTGAATTCTGGAGGTTTGGAGTTTAGGTGTGACTCTTTATTGGCTTACTTAAGTTATTAGAGGAGTAAGCTTTTGGAACACATTGGACTTCTTCCTTAGGCATCATAAACATGTTGTGACACTCGCTGGCTTTTGTATTTCTTACAAAATACAGTGACAAGACTTCCCTGCCAGATTGCATGAGCTGCTGCAGTTCCTGTAGGTCCCTTTCTACTGGTGCCAGATTTTTCTTTTAACCTATTTTTATATCCGTGAAAAAAATAGTGGTAGGGGAGAGACACTCTCGCTTGGCTTTGTAATGACCTCTCCTGCTTGGCAGAGCTAGTGACTGGTATAGTTTACTCCCGGTGTCCCTGACATATAAGACATCAAGTGGTGCAGCCCAGCACTGTCCACCTAACAGTGGAATATCATTGGCATGTGGATTTACTTAATAAAGTCTAAGCTAATAAACTCCATAGTAAATTGTATCTGCGTCTGGTTGGTAAACCTTCTATATGTCCATGTTTCATATATTCTGGTAGCAGCTAAACTATAAAAAGACAAAACTGTTGACAAAATGGAATTTACATAGAATTGGTTCTCTATTAAAAAAAACCCAGGGTAAATACCCAACATGCCCACTTATACACACAGAGGAGGGATCAAAAGGGGACAAATTCTGAGTCTGATGGGCCTTCTTTCAACAACTTATACTTAGTAAAGCAGTGCATAATCATTGTACACAAGATTGGCCCATATGAACAACATAACCAATTGACAGTTTTAACAGTTTTTTTTAGTTCCATCATATAGCTGCCCAGCAGTAAGATAAAACTCCTATATGTTGAAGGCTGCTAACTAGACATGTACATTTTGTTTCATTCCGAATGCAAATTTTGGGGAAATTTCTATGAATTCGGACATTTGGATGCAAAAAAAAGAAAAATTCAAAAGAAACAATTTTTTGCCAGCTCACATGTCTACTGATAACTATGATTTTTTTTTTTCCCCCAAAACTCCACCTTAACCTTAAAATAGTACAGTATCAGGCAGGGGTGTAACTAGAAATCGCATGACCATGGCAAAATTTTGTTTGGGGCTCTGTGATTTCTAGTTACGCCCCTTGCAGAGCCCACCTGAGAGTGACCCTGCAGTGCCCACTATAGACACTCTGGTGGGCTCTGCAGGTTCTCAGGTGGGCTGGTCACATCCTTGCACGCCTCTTACCTGTCAGCCCGGATCAACTGTCAGCCTCGTCCACCGCTGGGCCTAGCCTCCTCCGCAGCTGCTGGCTGTCACTAAATCATGAGTGCCTGTGAGGAGGAATGTGTCGCTGCACAGATCACTGGCAGGTTGTCAATTATCTGAACATCAGCGCGTTCCTCCTCACAGCCAGCAGTAGCCTCCACTACATCAGGAGGACTCTTTTTTATTTCTCATCCCGACCAGGCCCTCTTGTGCCCCCCGCCCCATAGCCGCCGCCTGGTGTTGCTATGGCAATAGTTCTGCCACTGGTATCGGGAAACCCTACTGTCCTGTGGGCTCTATATCTATGACTCTGAACCATGAGCAGCCAGACTTCCATTTCTTGTGCACTTGTTTCAGGGTTGGCAGTTCAGTTGAAAACGAACACATGGGTACATGTTTACATTGATTGCCAATGAAGCCAGCCAGCCTTACTATGATAAAGGTTAAATGCTTGAGCTGTTTCCCAAAGCAATCAACCAAACTTCTTGGTTTATAATTCAGGCCAAAAAATTAACGTGATTGACAACAGAAACAGTTCCATATATACTCCAATTTTCCAGGTTCTCTACATAGATGATGTGGTACATATCTACTGATTTTGTTAACAAACGTTGATGATTTTTTTAAATAATAAACAAAATCATTATCTTAAAGAACATACAGATGAGGATGACTTCTCTTTGCTGTTGGATGTTGCTTGCTTATCTGGAAAGAAAGACATGTTCATCAGCCAGGAACTGGTAGAAGCCTTATACTCTTATTTTGTGTACAAAAGATATGACTTGCATTATTTCATTTATTCATGACTCTTTGTAAGCCTCGAGTTCCTAGTAAAACACTCCCCCTCTTAGCTACTCCTTAGCTCACCATGCTCTGTACACAGGTGAAATCAGAGCCAAGAGTAACAGCCTTATAGTACATGCACAACTGTACAATACTTGAGGTGAGCCAATTAAGTACCCCCGGACCAGTGCGACAGATCAGCTTTGCAATTGGAAAATACACAAAATTCTGCTTGTGTAAAGGGTTTACAAAACCTATTCCATATGGAAGTTGGGATGTATATGTTTACTGTATAAAGATCTTAAAGTTTACATAAGTATCATTTTAAAAAACTGACAAGGGTGTAATAATAAATGCTTCATAGGTAACAAACTGTTTATATAAAATAAGAGTTTGAAATTGCATTGCGATTCATAGGGAATGTGATGTACCATAGTTGCCATACTAAGCCTGAAAACCCTAGTTCAAAACCCTTATTCCATCTGCTTTTGGATACTTCCTTCTTTTTCTGCATGGTGACCTCTGGCGCAGTTCTGAGGAATAGCTACCACTGTTCTTACTAAATACATTATATACATGTTATTGGAAAATGCACATATTGAATTAGGTCTTCCCTTATTTATTTACAGTTCAGGGGCCTAAATGTGTAGTAAGAAAAGTCAAAGCATCATATGCCAGTGAGTCTTTTATAAAGTTAAAGTGTCAGTCTACTGAAAAGCGATATTCTAGGTACAGGTGGGAAATAATGAGCTAAGTTAATTAGATCATTTTATTATGTCCCGCCTTCTCATGCTGCATTCTCCATAGCGTAAGATAAAATAAAATCCAACAGAAAGAGTGAGATACACATGTATGGGCACCAAAAGGAGGTAGTTTGATTTCAATGTAACATTGTATCATGTCAATGACATTTTAATTGTAACCAAGTCTTTATGTATGTATTAAATATACGTTTATACAAAACCATGTATGTTTGATGGACGTCTTGTATGGTTTGGACACTTTTAAAGCCCCGCTTTTCTTTTCTTGTATACAATTCTAATTGGGGGTGTGGTGCCCATCCCTAATGGTTCAATTTAATTCCTATGCTTTAAAGAAAGAGTGAGAAGCCTTCATAATAGGTGTACTAGATATGCAGACCTGGGAACTCAAATGCAGACATCTCACCAACAGGGGTCCCCAAAAACTACGAGAAAAGTTTGTGGTAAAACCCTCCAGCATCTACCAAAAACTGAAATGTCAATTTTAGGGGAGTGCTAGCTGCCAATTCCAGTACATTATTGATATTTGCCATATAATACACGCATAAAGAATGGCTATATTATCCCTTGCTTTTCCACTATAATATGCAAAACAGACAAAAGCAAAAAGAAATAGCTATGCGGCAAACGTGTATCTCTCTTTTACAAACGTTATTGAAACTACAGTGTAGATATTAAATATTTCACACACTGAGCTGCCTACAGTACATTGTAACATGGCCTGTCTAGTGGCACTAAAGGCTTCAGAAACGTCATCTTTTAATTTTATGAACCTCCTCTGGTTTAAGAAGGAAGCCAATGGCTGTTATTGGTAAAATACAAATGACTATTTTCCGGTAAATGAAGCATAGCGCAAATTCAGGAAAGGAAACTTTGCGGAATACAACCTTGTTAGCCATGCTCACTGGAAAATGTCTTCTACCAAAAACAGCATGCTATTTTTCATCACGGTACACAGTACACTGGTTTTATTGTCAGGAATGTAGACTGCCGTAATATGTGCACAGTTTGCTTAGTGGAGATCATTGTCTTTTGTATGATCATTTCCAGTTTTACATCTCTTTGGATCTGGTGTTTGTGAAGCTATACACAAATGATGTATACTGTCTTTCAGGAGCATTCAGCACAGTAGAACACCTGCTGGTGGCACTGTGGTCCCTGGGCTAGATTGGTGGAATTTCAATGTCCACCAGCGAGTGTCTCCCAGATGTTATCAAGCCCCACGTTACAATTTACCAAGTGTCTCAGCATTTTGCCTGTACAACTGAATTTGTGCATAGATTAGTTTTCACTGGACGCATGTTTCACTGATAGGTTTATTGGACTGTAGATGTGTATACAGTAAGTTTTATGATAATTATGTTGGTGTTCACAATAAATTGCATTGTCTTTTCACTTGAACAGTGGTGTATGTCTTACCATTGGTGGTGGCTGGTGTATTACCAGATAATCTACATATCTGGTAACTACAGACAACAGGTTTACCTGCCATTGGTTTCTTAATACTGTCCGAGTATTTGTCTCCTTTATACAGTACTAACTAACTAATAAAACCTGAAAACACTAAGAAAACTACAGTAACTAAGTAACTTCCAATGAGCCTTACCTTGCTGACTCCAAGGTAGATTAGGCGCAGAAGTAGTAGGTGGTGCTGGAATTTCAGGCTTAGTTGTACCACCATTGGGTGACACTTCATCTGGTTTTGGTTCTGCTGCCTGGAAAACATGTTACTTACTGTAGAAACTTCTTATCACCGCCTTTAATCATCTCCATGTAAACATTTGGACGAAGCAGAGACCATATAGGACAGAAAATAAACATGTTTTGTAGTGTTCCACACATACCAAGCATGAGAATTGGCTTGGGCAGGTGAGTATTTTCCTACTTATTTTGCTAGGCTATTTCTAGGCATGTCCTGACATGAAAGAATTATCGCTAAAGCATCTGTTATACAAGTGTTCCTCAACCTCTTTTAAGTCAAGGCACCCTTTAAAAGTTTGCAAAATCTCGAGGCACCCCAGCCTAAAATATAAAAAATTTAAAAACTACGTGTGGCCCCTCCAAAATCCATACCAGATCATTATCTGAGATAAAGGACTGTAATGGGGCACCCTATGCAAAAAAAAGGGGTTTCCCATTTCACATCAGGTTCCCCTTTCAAATCAGGCACCCTCCTTCACATTAGGAGCCCCGCTTTCACATCAGGGTCCCCTTTTACATCATGGGCCCTCCTTCACATTAGGAGCCCCCTTTATATCAAGAGTCCTCTCCTTTCATTTCAGAACACACACACTCTCTCTCTCTCTCTTTTCTGAATTAATCCCACCCTCCCTGGATTAGCATCATTCTATTTCATGGTGCTGGTGGCCTGCCTGCCGGCACCATGGAAAGGCATAACGCTGTGTGAAAATTTCAAGGCATGCCAGGGTGCCACGACACTGATTGAGAAAGGCGGTGTTGGACAACTTCTGCTATTTGGAATATGTCAAAATTAAATCAATGAGTTTTAGGATTCTTAAAGTTTTAGTCTCTTCTAAAAGATAACATGCTTACCTGAATTTGAGACTGAAATTTCAATTCAACTGGCTCCAGGTAGTTGCATGGGACTATCCCTTTCTAAATACATATGAGAGGCACAGACAAGAGGAAATAAAGTCATTTTAGTAATCAGAAGTCATTAAATAATAATAAGTCTCTGCATTGAAACACAGAAGTGGCTCCTCCTGAAATTTCTCCCTTTCCTGATACATGGGTAATGTCTGTCAGCTGTATTTTTTAATGGAATAGAACTACAATAGCCCACAGAGGAATTCTGGGCTGAGAGATATGGCTTGTATGTAACTGCTGGCCTTAAAAAAAAAAAATCTAGTTTCCTGTCTGTCATAGTGATATAATGGCTTCAATACTTTGAGTCAATGTCCTGAAACAAGTATAAAGAAGTCAGAAATTCTTATCTGAATAGTTGTTTTAGGTCAGTGACTCAAGAAAGCATGGTCAGAAGATGGACAGGGCAGCTAGGTAAATAGCATTTTTATAAAGAGAGGTTTGCAGTGGCAGTCTCCATATATATCGGACAAGTAAAAGGGGTGAATTGGGGCCAAAGCCTTAAGGTCCCCACACACCTTATGATGATCGTACGATTATCGTAAGGTGTGTGGAAGCCGTGCGACCTCTACTACTGTAAGGTCGCACGACTTTAAACTTACGGACATGTTCGAAAACCCGCCAAGCATCGTACGATGTTCGGCGGGTTTGTGGCATGTCCGTACGATAAAAGCCGTACGGGCCGGTGTGCGCAAGCGCACACTGCCCGTTGGGCGTTGCGGTCATCTGAAGCCCTCCCCTCAGGGGGCATGGCTTGCGATCATCGCAAGTATGATCTGCCTATGCAAGATGGGCAGATCGTATGTTTTTTTTTAAGTACCTTACAACCATCGCAAGACAAAAGTCTTGCAATGGTTGTAAGGTGTGTGCCCAGCCTTAGGGTCTGGCTGCTGAGGGGGCCTGGGTTGAGCTTTTGCTAGTGTTACAGTTGTCTGTCTAATTCTGCATTATTTTTTTGAACTACATTTGTAAATTTGTCACTCCACCCACTGCAACATCTGAGGTCTGAGTTTGGGGATATTCTACATCCTAGTAAGACATCACTGGAGCACCAATGCTATAAAGGGGTGAATCTGGCTTTGACTTTGATAAGGATAATTATATGGACCAGCTAATATAGTCTCAAATGCACCATATCCCTAATTTAAATATCAAGGAAGTTCAAAAATGGAAACTTTGGACTTTTCAGTTGCTACTTCAATGGATTTGCACAGACACAATTCTTGTTTTGTATAAAAATGTCTCTATTTTATTATATACAAAAAAACAGCAATATGGTGAAAACCCCTCATCATGACCACACCACATGTGCTGATCTAGGAACACAAGTGCCGATATCTCACCAGTGGGAACCCTTTGAAATATAAGAAATTGTTTTGGGTGAACTGTCCTTTTAAGTATTAATTGATGTTACCCTGAGAAACAGTGCAAACATAATGCAAAGCCTCTTCTGTGTCAATACAATAAACTATATAACAATGCGGTGGTCCTCAACAGTTTTTCAAGTTTGTACTTCTAAATGTATTGGAAACTTTACTATAATGTTAAAAAAAAAAGATATGCATTAAAATAGATAATTTCTAGGCCACTGATAATATTAGTTAACTTCAACCACCATTGCAATATATACACTAATGTGTTATTATTATTTGTACAATAAATGCTTTTGTATACAAAATATGTAATATAAAATAAATAATCAAATGATAAACCCCCCCATGTCTGTTGCTACCCCAACAAAGACAGAGGCAAAAAAACTTGCAAGTGCATAATGCAATATCATTAGATACATAAAGAATTGTTGGTGTCAATGAGTCATTGTTTTGAAAAGATTTTCCTGATTATGGGTACAAAGGTTGGCAGTGGGTGTATTTAGTCTGCCAGAGACCGTGGTCATTAAATTGTTTAAGTGCTAAGTTCATAACTTTGAACCTAGTCTATCAATGATTACTCTGCAAGTGAAATTGAGTGCCACATTTAGGATGGACAAACCAGGTGAACAATGACTGCATCTGCGCTTGTATGGGGAAACAGTACAGCTGCTTCTGTTTTATTTGTTGAGAAACAAATTTAAGGATTGGGTACCATTTCACAAATAAGTTTAACCCTCAAATGTAACCTAAGCTTTGCCCGTGAAGGGCAAAGCAATAAGTTCACTTTAGTAGTGACCACACCAGCAGAACACTTCCCCCCAATCCATTCGGCCATTGGAGGCAAAGAACGATACCTGGCACTTCTGGATGTAGGGAAGAATGGGGATTGATGGTTGGCTACTCATGCACTCACTAGTGCTGTCACATGGGGCAGGGAGAGACTCATCAGACATGTAAAACTTTCAAGCTGGAACCTGGGGCTACATTTACAGGATTTATTCTTTTCTCATCCTGTCAAAAAAAAAATGGCAGGTGAGCAAAGGGAAAGTGAATTTGTGCAACTGGTGGGGCCAGCAGAAAAGTGAACCTGTTGCTTTGTATAATATTGTTTGATTAACATGTTGCTTGGACCTTAATGGTCAAAGTACTGGTTCAATTTAAGTGATTTCACATTCAGATGAAAAACAAAAAAATTCAGTGACATCATCCCAACACCTTTTTAAATGTTGGTAGTTTTACATAAGTGGCTACTTGTGTAGAACAGAACGTTAGGATATCAATTCTGGAGCATCCATATCAAGTGGTAATAGTTTAAATCACATATGTATTAAGTAGAATGTTAATTGTGCAGAAGCAACTTCTCCATGCTGAGAGGCCTGCCAACCTTTTACTCTTGTGCAGTATAAACCTTACCACCAACACTGTATTTAAAAAAAAAAACATAATCTAGAACCAGGCTTGATCATCTGTATTATATAGGCATGGACAATTGTCTGGAAACCCACTGAGCTTTGGTTACCTTTCCATTAAACAACACTGTAGCCCAGTTGTCATCCCCTTTTTTGAGTACAAAGACAATATTCCCTGGCAAGACTTCCATCTCTTCTATGGTCTCTGGAGTAAATTCAAAAAGGACGCGATGAGGTTGTCCCTGCAGTGTCCTGAAAGACAAAACAACTATTAAAACCATGAATATACTAGAGGTGGCCAGTCGTAGAAACAGTAGTGGTGATGAAAGGTTGTTTTATAACCTTCTCTGCTGGTACCCAACCCACATATGCATCACCCTCCTGGACATTCTAGACCCCTGATTCTTGACCATCACACGGCGTCATTACACGGCGCCCTGCTTCCTGATTGGCCAGAAAGCCGGCTCCATGCTGTCCCGTCACCTGGTGACAAGGGAGCATGGAGACGGCTTCCATGCTAATCGGAAAGCCCGGTGGCGAGTCTTTACACGCCGCCCGGCTACCGGCTAATCAGGAAGCCAGATGGTGAGTCATTATACGCCGCCTGGCTTCCTTAATGGGACTTCCGTTATCGTTATTCAGTATCACCGAGTACCGGAAAAAAAATATCAGTACTCGTACTCGATACCGAAAGACCGGTATCTGTGCATCCCTATTTTAAACCCTAGCTTTCTTGAGCATGGAAGCTGCCATGCCTCCATTCCTGCTGCTGCATACAGTCTATTTCTGTAATTAAGGTGAGTGATTCTGTCTGTTTCCTATTTGAAACCTATAATGTACATATGTGTGGCTCTATCCTTCATTGTTATGCTCCTCATACTTTCATTTATATATCTATCCTTAGCTGTAAAATATTCCTCTTTTCCTTAGTGCCACTACTTAGTTGGCAATCACTTCCAGCATTCAAGCCAGAGGACAAGGTGTGAGCTGAAAACATTTTTTCTGCAGTATTCACCCTACCAAGACAGAGATCATCAGATCTTCAAACTTCATCAAAAGATTCTGAGATTTTGTGTCCCGGACCAGCATCTTCCGTTTAGTTGCCTTTTGTTGGGCTTTCGACAGTTTAGATGACATTCATCCTGGCAGCACTGGTAGCAAGTATTCAAACTATCTGACTGCCACTTAAACGCTTGTTTATTTCTAAGTCACCAAGGTCCCTATCAAATGTTCTACTTTTCTTTGTCCCTACCTCCTTATTTTTAGGTTATAGTTTATTTTTTCATCAGTTCTTCTGATAATACTTTATATGCTGGTAGATCTATAAATGGTTGCAATTAATTTTTATCTCTATAAACGTATCTTCTATTTTAGCCGTTTTCCTGCTTTTTCTCTAATAATAATTATAATTCCCTTATAATAATTCTCTAACCACTCTTGGAAAGAAATCAAACCATTCTTTATCAACTTTATGTCCATTAACCCATCATTTGGTGCTACATCTCACTTTAATCTCCTTGGGATTATACCTTTTCTAAAAATCTTTCAATATTTAAAATGTCCTACCATTTTCATACTTGTTTTTCCATAGTGTACCTTGGGTGTTTAAACACCCCCTCTAAATCTCCTAAACCACTACTGAATGCCCCCAACCAAAGCTGCAGAAATTAGTAATCACCCCTTGTGAAATGAACAATATAAATAATAGTTTCTGCACTCTCCAACTAAAACATATCCCATATTAATTAAATATCTGCCATTTTTGCAGAATTTCAGTATGTGTTAGGCCCATGCTACACATACATCTATGTGGAAAACCTGGGGTGCACCAAAACTTTTTTTTTTTTTCTTCTTTTTTTTTTTTTTTAGTTTTGGGTAGTTTAAGCAATTGAGTCCCAAGAGCTGTTTTAAAACATGCTGATCGCAGCCAGCAAAAGATCAATAATACAAGTGATCTGTTGCTGCGCAGGTGCCCGGGGGGCTTGATCAAGTTTTCCACTGAAAAAAAAGAAGTAAAAAAAGGATAACATGTAAAAAACAAATGTTGGCTTTAGATACACTTTATAGCAGAAAAAACTAAGATTTACCTAAGTACTTCAGGGGTCTTTGAACGAGATGGTGGGTTGTCACTCTGTAAAATAAAAGCATATGAGATATAAAATATTCCCAAAACATTTCCAAAACACTATCTGTACTGACTCTGAACGCAAATCATCTGAAAAAACATCTCTGCTGTCAACTGAAAAACACTCAAGCTTTATAGCAGTGATTCCATCACACAAGTAGGAATAGGATGTGGATTTGGAGGTTTTCTATACACAAACAAGTTGAGTTTTTTGCTATTTATACACAGTCACCATGAATCATAATCCTTCTCTATATGAAACATTGTTAGGAAGTTGCAGCTGGCTGAGCTACCAACCAGCATTTATTTCTGGGGTTATTTAATATTTTATGCCTACAAGTTCAGTCTGCAAACTGGCACATCTCTAAATGTAGGTGGGAAGAATAAATGTAGAAGAGGATCTATTATTTTTCTTACCCAGATGCTATTTACATTTACACCGTATCAATCTCACCCATCCTCCGTACATACATATCTATGACTAGCTGCCGTGTTCCATCATCATTACAGGCACCATTTCAGTAGCACAATATTCCACGGGAACATTCCATTCCACAATTCAGCTAAAGCAATAATAATTCAACTATACCTGAGGCTGCAGGGGTGCAAAACCAGAGAAACTGTCCTTGTCAACTACAGAGGCCACAACCTGTGAAATAATGACATACAGCGCATTATAGATACAGGTAATTATGTGTCGTTTATATTCAAATAATAATTAGGCACCACTTTCCCAACAAGCTGAATGCTTCAAGCTTAAACAGTAGAAAACATAGAAAGACAGAAATTTAAAGGGGATGTTAGTCAGTACAGTATGTAGTTTGAGCTCATATTGGTTGATTGTCAAATATACCAGGGCCCTCCAACTTCATAGGTCATGTAACAGTTGTGCCCCCCTTCCCTATCTATCTATCTATCTATCTATCTATCTATTTCTCGGGAAAGAGATAGGGATAACCTGGTTATGGGGGAAATGCAAAGAAATGATGTTGTCCATACACTGCTATGGGTCTGGGTCTCACACTATCTGTTGGATCCCTAATCCAACAGATAGTGTGAGATCCCTAATCTAATGTATGTTATGGGGAGTGCAACAGGGTGTGCTGAATCATTCAAAGGTTAGTGAGAGCATTCAAATCTTCAGGTTAGAGAGGAATAGAGTTGAGAACTATGCTAGAGAGATGTATTTCATGGAATTTAATTTTTTATGGAAAGTAAACTAATTAAACCATTATTTTTTATTTTCTCATGTGTCCCTGTCTCTTAATCATTGCCTAAAGCCTAAGCTAATTAACTATATATATATAGTAGCAGAAATGAGGAAGGCTATGGTCAGACCAAGGGCATTTTAGGACACAGGTGTGTGCTGCCTCCATTTTTTAATTTTCCCAACACAAAGAAACAAATATAGAGATACAAAGGGAGAAAGTTATTGGCTTTGTGGAATAAATCTGAATATGTTTTTTCTCTCTTTAGAGAAAGATCCCTGGTAGGCCTTCGGGCTAAAGGGCCAATTACCCTTACTGTTGACATTGACACAACATTTACTTAAAATGTAATCGGTTAAAAGGCCGAATTCACAAATTTGCTTTTGCTGCTCTTTGATCTGTAAATGTATTTAAATTGAACACTGATAACTCCTCAGGACATCTAATACTGCTCATACGCAATGCATAGTGATTACAAATTTATGGACTTGCATTAGCTTGTATAAATGCATTTAAATTGTAAAGTGCTGAGTTGGACTACTGAGTGTTTCCAACATATATAGCCGTAAAAGTTACAAGGCAAATCAAAACCAAATTTTATTTCAGCACTCATCCATTTGTAGTCTTCAGTGCCGCTTCTAAAAAAGATTGAGCACAGCAGTACTATAGGACACAACTAAAGGGCACCCAAATGGACTAGAAATCAGTAATATAATAAAATCTCTTCATAAAAGTTAGAAAAACAAAGAATGGAGAAACTTTGCAAATATAAACTGACATTAGTAACACCGTGTGAATAGTGTAAATGGTAAAGGACATACCGTAGCTTTACCCAAATAGTCCTTCTTCTCCAGCTGCTCCACAAGCCTTTCATTTGGATAAAATAGGCGACCTTTTGGCATTACTATCAGTGGAAAATCTTTTTGTTTCTGTGACATAAATAATAAATGTATGATAGAAAATAGTGTGCAGTAGTTCACTAATAATATTGCTATGCTCCTGCTTGCCACCTCTTACAATGCCCACAATGGATACAGCAGGCGTAAAATGATAATTATAATGAAATGAGGCAGATATACCTATCCCCTGCGGCATAATCAAATACCTACCAGGTTTTCTTGCATTGCTTTCTCTATCTTGGTGCCATGCCTTGGTTCTACCTTCTGACTGAGGGCCAGAATGAGATTCTCTTCTGCTTTTGCCCAGTTCCCCACTTTCGTATGTCCTAGTGCAACATTATATAGGATCTGGAAGAAAAATGTCCCTAATTTATTGTAAACCTGAGCAAAGCATTACAAAAAAGTACTTTTCATAGAACATTTAATGTATTTCTCCTCACTTCAGGCAACCCTTGTCTGTTGGTGGAGGTGCTAGTTAAATAGGAGGATAGGAGGAGGTGCTAGTTCGATAGTAAATTAGATTCTATGGCTGTCACAGACAACTGAGATAATCAACTAGCAGTTGGAAAAACCTGTACAATGTCTACATATATTTAAATACCATTCATTAAATTGTATCTGTGTTCCAAAACGCAAAAAGAAAAAAAATTATAAGTATTTCTATATTGGATACTTCCTCAATGCACTGACACAATTTCACTCAGTGTCTATGCATTTCAGTGTCACATCTCTCAGTGTCTGCCTTCTGAACTACAACTCAACAACTGAACAATGTAACATCATTATTGCTTGCTGGAAGCAATGCATGATGAGATATGTAGCCTTGAGGAATCGAGATTGCCTCACATCAAGCAGCAGGGTAAGAGACACAAAGCACACTGGGAATCCAGGAAGTTGTTGAAAGTGATGGGCAGACAAAGGGCAGCACAATAAAAAAACAACTATACTATGTATTCCTATTACAATGCTGATGTTTAACAGTATAGTCTATGCCGGGACATTAGAACTACTTTAAGGTGGAAAAAACAAGGTTCAAACCACTTTGAAACTCCATTACACCCCATGGGAAGTGGAATAAGCAATTTAAGCCATCTGTGCTGAAGTGCTGCTGACACTGTGATTGGGCATGCACAGAAGTAACCTGTACATCATTCGTTACAGGTAAGAAATAGTATTTTTGAAGCAGGGAAGAATAATCAAGGTATTTTACAATATGCACAAGGGTGTGAGACAATCACTTCTTCAGATGTGAGCAAATGCCCAGGCATTTGGTCATGTGAGCAGCATATGACCAAACTATGAAGCCACATTTCAACCCTTCAAATACTGTCCACTCCAACAAGACGTTTTGCATTGCTTTAGTTAAGAATTGAGCTTAGGTCCACCTTGACACTAAACTCAGGAGTTAAATCTTAAAAATTAATTCAAATACCTTAACTATTAACAAAACTGTATTGTGTATCACTCAGCTGTAGATCCTTAAATCATCTCTAAATTGGTGCCGACACTGTCCTTCCTTCTGGAGGGTGGCTTCCCCATGGTCCCTGTGTGTGTTGTAAAGTAGCCACCGCTCCAAGCTCGCTACCGTGATGGACTACAATCTATACAAGTTAGTAAACTAAACGTGAGATTGTAGTCCATCATGGGAGTGAGCTTGGAGCGGTGGCTACTTTACAAACACGTGCTTTTTTGCATCCATGAGGAACAAAAGTAGCCACGCTCCAGAAGGAAGGACTGTGTAAGCACCAATTCAGAGATGATTTGAGGATCTACAGCCGATTTAATTCCTGAGCTTAGTTTCACTTTAAATTATATCCTATCAGCCCCATAAAACTGGGTGAAAATTGCTTAAAAACAAAGACAAACGTATGCCTTCTATAAGGCGGCCAAAACTGTTTGGCACAAAGGATTGAGCAAGATTACTGTATCTCACCTCACAGCTGTAGAGTTTAAATGTAAGGCCCAGGATCTTGTAATCAATCAGCTGATTTCCTCTTAATTCAGTGAAGCAGCGAAGCCAGTCCTGAAGTGCTTCCTTATACCTGAATGCAAATACATTCCTAGATGTAAACTGGATATACAATCTGTGTACATGAGTCTTGGATTAACTTGAATTATGTGTTTACAACAATGATTCTCAATCCGTTCCACAAGCTTTTTGAAATACAGTTGTAAATGTCTTATGAATTTTATGAATTTTTAGGGGAAATGAAAAGCTACTAAAATGTGATCTGTAAAAAATAATTGTAAAAAATCTGAGAATTTTTTCAACAAACAATGCAAACAGCATTTTATATACTCATATTCTTATTAGAAAAATGGATTGAACAATCTAGGCCATTTATGCATTAGTATGCGTATGTTACAAATAACGGAACCTCCTCTATTGGCAATAACCTCAATCTGTTGCTAATGTTGGGACCTGCACAGTAAGACTTGTGCAGAAATGTTGATCCATTCTTGTTGCTTGCAATGCCTGCTCCAGATCACACACAGAGCAAGCTTTTTATGTAGATTTGCACCCATCTTCTGGGTTACTTCAATTTTAAATCAACCAACATATTTTGGATGATTCTACTGTAGCATTTAAGAAGCATGCAATGGTTAGGAAAAATTAAAAGAGCCTGAAAAAGCTCAAACGGCATATGACATAACCATTGAAATTGCCCCATAAAAAGCGATGGATATATATATGTGCACAATTGGTGGCTGACTAAATACTTTTTTGCACCACTGTATATCTATATACATATATATAGATATATATATTGCTGAAGGCTCGCAGACATAGCGACTTACTTAATAATACAATTAATATTCTTAAAACACCAGCAATAGTAACAGAAACTCACGCATGAATGCATCTGAAGAAAGAAGAGTTCTTCACCCACAGCGACCAAATTGTCCTGTTTGTTTTCTTATACTGCACCGAGATTTTAAAGGTGAGCACACCGTTGTTTCTATGGACAACAAGGACTGTTCTTCCTTCAGGCACTTTTAGGAATATAGCCTTTTGTAGCCTGTGCTGTTACTTACTTGCCCTCCTTGAAGAAGACGGAACCACGCTGGAAAAACCCCACAGCCAAATGTTTGTCTTTTTCAACTGTGCTTGTGAAGGCCTAAAACACAGCAATGTTTGTAACTGTTGTAAAACAATCGTGATTTCATTTTGTAAGTTGAACCTAGAAATTTCTTAAAGCAAAACTAAAGCAGCCATATGGCTCACTGTTGGCCATTAAGGATTTTTCATGCTTGAACCTTCCGACCCAAGAAGTGTCTGCAGACACCTCAGAATTACCAGGATGGCCCAGAAATGTCTGCTATGTGCTAACAGTGATGGATTGGGTATTATAAATGTCTGATGCTTTAATTTATGGCCTTCCTTGGAAATTGTACTATATACAGTACCAGTGTTTTGTGTTAACTGTTGATACTGCCACACCAGACCAGGCCCATTGAGTACCTTCAGTAATTTCCTGCTCATGTGATTGGCTTAATCATTTGCTCCACAGTTTTACACTCATTACAACAGTTGTGTGTGTCATGTGAATATAGTGGGCAGACCCTCCCACTTTGTACACATTAAGGTGGTCATACACCTTGCGATTATCGTTCGATTTCTTTTGTGCCCTCATCGAACCGTCGTTCAGTTTCCGCTCGAATACCCCATTATGCACAGACCAATGTTGATTTTGATGATCGTTCGTTACCAATACTGACTGACTGAATTTCGTTGATCGAAAGAACAAATTGTCATTTGCACATGTGCAGTGTTCATGTTGCGATTTGTTTCCTATGAAAACGCGACTAATCCATCGATTTGCGTACGATTCAAAAAATAATTTTCCAGCCTGACCGATCGAGGAAATTCAGCCAGTTGTACAGTAATTGTGATCATTCACGTCCCATCAACTGCCGGATTATCGTATGAAAACCCGATCGCGTTCAATTTCCGAACGATTATCGCAAGGTGTATGGGCACATTAAGGGAGGAAGTAACTGGAACGCATGTGACAGCAACCATAGAACAGCAACAGGTAAGAGTGTTCAGTTAAGTTTTTTACAATGCATACAACAGACCTACAAAGATCTCTTCTTTTTTTCTCTCACTGTATTATAAATTGAATAGTGTTTTCTATAATATTAGACACATTGCTTATCTATACCATGCAGTAGTTGTATCATTTTCATATTAATTTTACAAATAGAGGATGACGTTCTATGTTTTTGAAGGTTCTCATTGATCCAGGATATGGTATAGCAATTATTAGCTAAGTATTTAATCACATTAAAATGGACTTATGCTTTAATGGTGAAGATGGTTCATAGCTTATCCAAGCCACTTCTTCAGTATGTATCAGGAAGATAATTATATCCACAGAGGTAGCACAGACTACGCAATCCAATCACCATAGGAAGGCAGATGTTCCATGTATACGATTGGAAGTGTAAAAGTTTTTGAACCACCTTTCTCTTGTTACATAATCCCACTATTGGTGTCATGAGCTCTGTATAGAAGTTAAACCTTTGATTTACCTGGCTGAAGGTGTGAATTTTTGCAAAAAGCCGGGGTAGAGATGTATAAACAGAATTTTATGTCATAGACATACACCTGTTCAAAGATTGTTGTTCCAGTTTGACATAGATGGCCTCTTTCACACCTCTTGTGAACTAGTTGTCCACTCTGTCACCACACTGTCTTCGATAATCTGTGCTCATTTTGTTTCTCCTAAGCACTCTGTTATTGTCTGCATCTGCCTGCTGCTGGGTATGACCTTGCCACAGAGCAGAGCAGCCAATAATGGTGAGTTATGTGTCTCCCTAGCCAATCGCCAGTCCAGTGGTGCATGCTGGGGGAGGACATAAATATTTAGGGCTGACCTTGTGAGTGTCTCTTCCCCCTCCAGGCCTTCTGCCTGGGGGAGGATGCATGATGTGATGTGATGTCTGACCAGGCCTGCAGGTGGTCAGGAATTGAGACCCAGTTGGGGTGTGCAGCTGTCCTGCCAGTGGAGGTCGAAGCTGTGCCTGGGATGGAGAACCAGGGATGAACTTTGCCTGTTGGAGGTGCCAGAGACACCAGAATTGGGCTTGGACCTCGCAGGAAGTCTGGTGTCTTGCCTAGGGAATTCTGGCTATGTCTGCCAACCAGCTAAAGTTCCACATTACACAGTGTCACTGCAATCAGTTTAAAGGCCTTCTGTTCTGTTAAACTGGGAAGTGATCGATGAGTCTGGAGTCTGTACTGTTCTAGGTGTCTGTAGTTCTTATCCCTCCCTCCCATGTGAGTAGCTAAGGAATACAATCATTGAAAACTCTTACAATGAGTGGTGCTCCACCTATTCACATTCCACAACCGGCTAAGGACTCTGGACCAGCTAAGGATCCCTGAAATAAAATGTCAGCCCAACCTGCCTCTGAAGTCTCCCACATGCTCCTAAAGATAAGAGGGGTGCTACAAATACAACTAAAAAAGTTTAAATGCATTGTCATGTCTAATAATGAGAGGAAATGCATACAGCTTCAGTTAATCTGGGAGTGAACACTAATCCCATTAGAAGGTTTGCAATACACATACACTGGATAGTGCAAGTTGTGCAAACTCCCCATAGAGCCTTGGCCGCCTAACAGGGCAAGAAAGAAATCAACAGGCTAACAAGAAAATGTTTACTTGGCTGTCATGCTGATCCCATAACTTCAATACTTTCTGGAACAAGCACATGACCACTCAAGTTATAACTCTGGTCTGCATACTTTTTCCTGGTCCGTGACTCAGAAAATATATCACTATACCTTCCAACTTTCTGAGATGAGAAGAGGGACACCTTTTAGTAGAAGGTATAAATAAAAAGGACCACTCCTACCACATTAATATGCAGCAATCGGCTGTACTCACAGTTACTTTTTTTCCACCACCATTCTTCCTTTATAGTCACTTTTGAAAAAATAATATCTACTAATTTAGAGGCTGGATGAAAGCTTTATTGTAGTTTATGGTAGCTGAACAGTAAATTATTTATAGAGGTCTATAAATGAGACCAAAAAGAGTGACAACTGAGGGGAATCAGGGACAAACGTATTGGGTTTGAAAAGAGGGATAAATGAGGGACAGTGTGGAGCTATGAATCACTTAGCATTGGTTCCCCTTAGGCCCCATTTACACTGAGCATTTTGTAGCTTGAATGTTTAAGTGCTATAATGCGTAATACAAAAAATACCATTGCTTTCAATGGCCCCTGTTCACATTTGAGCATTTTGTCGCTTGTAGCAAAAGACTTGTAGTACAAAAAAGTACATGAGCTTCTTTTGGGTCAGGGTCAAGTGGCTTGGAACCAATAGACTTCAATGGGAGTGGCTGAAAAATGCTTGAAATGTGTGTAATGCATGTTTTCCAAGCATTTTTTTGGCCTAGTAACTAGCTTAGCATTGGCTACAAATAAAAACAGATGTTCAAGCTTGAAACTCTTGCAAAAACACCTATACAAGCACTCAAACAACGCCCAAAGGAGCACACTAAGATGTTCAGTTCAAGTGTGAATGGGGTCGTAATCAGCAGAGAGGAACAGTGAATCACAGAAACTCTCCAGCCTGTCTCCCATAATGATATTTCAAGAACTATCATTACAAATTTGGAAGGAATGTTTTCCAGTTGAAGGTAGATTTTTTATTGCCTTCCCCTGGATCAGCTAAGGTTTTTGAAGAATTTTTTTTATGAAGGTGGATGTTAATGAATAATTTCATATCTGAAACCAATATTATCGCCAAAATTGTCATCCAATGGCCCCATTTGTGTTATTTAGCTCACGAATCAATTAACCCCATTCCAAATGAATTGTAATCCTCCTACAGCATTACTGACCTTTTCTGCATCCTGTAAATTTCCCATCACAAGGTGACAGCAGCCGATGTTGAAAGAGATCTTAGCTCTAGGCTCTGTGATGGTGGTGAAGCATTTCAGGGCTCCACTCCAGTCTTCCTTGTCTGCAGCAGCCACCCCTTCATTCCAAAGCCGCATAATCTCCACAAGAGCCATTTCTGAGGTTACTCTGAGACCAGAGGTCCTTCCTACACTTCAATACCCCACACAAGTGTTGGTGCCTTTTCAGCACCCACAGCCCTCATGTGTGGTGTTGTCAGAATGTGTTGATGACACAAGAGGAAGCATCGTGACTCTCTGCAGTTTTCAGAAAGAGATTCTGAAACTGCTTTACTGGACTACGTAACAACTTCCCCTATTAATTGTCTTCCTCAATTATCGCTGTGGAGAGCTAATCCTGTGTGTCAACTCATTGCTGATTGTTAGAGATAGAACAAATAACCTGAAACCATTGCAAAGTGACGATTTAACAATCTTGCCTAGGGGCACATCCACTCATTGTAGTAATATATCTAAGGCTCCAATAAAAATGAACTAGGGCCCACTTATCATCATTAACATATCATAAGGTGAGCTGAACTTCAATCTTACCTTAGTATTGCACAGCTGTCAAGGCTCCTCTCTTGTATGAAATTGTTTATTAATTTCACTGCACACTGCAACAAGTCTGATAGAGGTCACCTCATTATCTGGCTGGAGGACATCCTTAAAGGAGAACTATGGGTTCACTGTTTTTCCCCATAGTTCTCTTAAGGGTCACGGGAGGACAAAAACTAGCATCCTCCCGTGACTCAAAACTCAGTATATCGCGAGCTACAGCTGAGGCCGCCGCAGCCAAGACAGATCCCGACATTACTGTAAGATCCACCCAGCTGTGTGAGTGACAGGCAGAGCCAGCTGTGCCCGCCCCTCCCCTGTCCGTTCCTCCAGTCAACGCTGGAGGATCGGAGCTGGGAGGGGGGGAATCCCTGCAGGCTCTCTGCGGGGACATGATCAAGAAGTGAGCAAGCGACGGTATGTGTTCGCTCACTTCCCGATCTATTGAGCCGACGTGTGACAGTTTCATTGTCACACGTCGGCTCGAACTATGAGGATGAGTGATTTTCACTCACTTCATAGTTCTCCTTTAATCATCTAGTCCAGTGGTTTCCCATTCTTTTTCCCCTTGGCATCCCAAAAAATTGTACCCCCCATGATAGAGGATAGAGTATGTGGCGGGGCTGATATTAGTGCACTGATCAAACTGTATTATCGGCATATAGAGTGTAGAAGGTATATACAGTAATGTACTGCCTGCACATTTGAGGTCAGTAGTAGGAATGGAAAAGGCGAGTGTGGAAGAAAAGTCCAAAAGTGGTTAGTGTGATGATATGAAAATCTAATAGCAAGATTTGGAGGTCAACACACTTTCCACCTTCCAGAGGTAAGACACTTTCCCACCATCTTATAATAAAGCCTTGTCCCTCTTTATTTACTGCCCCTTACCTCCAGCACCATGGGGTCAGTGTGGGTGCACAAATAGTCAGCCCCCCTCCCTACTCTGTCCCACTAGCCTTTCCTTTTATCCTGAGAGCTGCTTCAGCTGCAGAAGAGTGACCCGGCTCCGTCCCCTAAGAAGGAACTGTCCTTTCATCACAGCACACACAAGCATCGGACAGTTGTAGAGGTACCTTTGTGTGCTGGCCAATAAGGGCCTGGGAGCAAGCAGGTCCTGGTAAAAAACAAAAACAAATCAGTAACAACTTAAAAAAGTATATCTAAAGGCTAAAGTTTTAGTCTCTCCCAGAGACACAACAGAAAGTGAGGGAAAATCCCTTCTTAGACAGTTGTCACCAGAACAGTTGTCCACACTGGAAGATTAGACCTCTGTTCCTGTTTCAGCTATAAACTGTAAAATGTTGAACTACTCATCACTTTCTGTCCCATTGACAGTGGTTACCAGGACAAATAGAGAGAGTCAAGCTCCCCAGCAAAGACATAGCAATAAAAGCCTCACATAAGTTCTAACCACTTCCTGCTCTATCTAACACAAAACTGCTTTTTTCTAGATTAAAAAAAAACAGTTTTGGGTCTAAATGGACAGGCGTTTGTTTACACGTGTTACCCCCGACTCTGGCCAGGTCCGGAAAAGCAAACGGCATGGGGTCTGCCAGTTTTAGTTCTTTCCTCCATCACAAGATGGAGGAAAAAACATGATGACACAGATGTAACAGCGGTGACATCCGATCCGTACTGCTCTGATTAGGAGGGCATCCGTGCCCGGATCCCCACTTGATCAGCCCGTGTGAAAGGGGCCTAACACAAAATACTATATTGCCACTGATGACACTAATGGAATATATTGGGTTTTTTTCCCATTCTAAATGTTAAAGAGACCTGTTCAGAGATAAACATATAAGCTGAAAGTGATGGCCTACTTCTTGAAATGTTACTTGCCTGGCTGTGTTTCTGATTCTGTAAATGCTTTCTGGGTCAAACACAAGCAAGCAAGTGAACGCACAACTGTTTATCTACTACATGACCTGACTGCCCAGGAAGGGGGCTCCTAAAGTCAAAGTCACTTGTATGCAAATATGGCAGACTTCAGAGAGTTAAACTGGTCATACACTGGGAGATCTTTGTAGAAATGTTCATATAAAAAAAATATCATCAGAACATTCAATAATGCCGCCAGAGACTTCACTAATGTCAATTAAAATGTTGTTTGACTTTAACTTTCGATTTTGGAATGAATGGAGTTCCTCGAGCGAAAACCACATTCACTGTTAGAATTTTGATTTTTGGGAAAAAAGTTCCTTCCTGCAGTCCTGCAATGTATGTAAGGAAGTTGAAGGCCCATCCACATACTGTGGGGCATCAAAGACCAGAGGAGAAAACCAGCTGCCAGGGAACCAAGGAATAAACTCGTTATTGAGATTATTTCTTCCCTCCTAGACAAAACGAGCAATTACCCCTTGCAAGTGCGGGAGGAGGGCGCAATGACTTTTGAATTTTTAGAGCTGAATGGAGCTTTAAGAAAGATTGGGCTATGCCTGGGTATATGATATGGGCTATGTATAATGTATACTAGATGTTATAAGCAGGTTAACAACTAGTAGCATTATGGCACACTTGTGATTATGTGGCTAGTGGCCAGCCACAGGATTAATATGCAGGACAGGGAAGGACAAAGAAATACTCATCCTTTTTGCACAGGTCGCTCCCATGCTAGCTGGATAAGCTAGCTGTTGCTCCCTTGCTCACAAGTGAAATTCTGCACCTTTTTCTCAGTGAAGAAGCTATACCTCACTCACCCACCCAGCAACAGACTGCCCTGCAGAAACAGGTAAGTATTATTTCAACATGTTTTTTTTTCTCACAAAAAAGTTGTATTGTTTTCAAATAAACATTACAACACAATATGAAACATATATAGTTATGATGGTACAGTAGCCAGAGTTGTACTAGAAAACAGTCAGATAATGTTATGGAGATAAGTTAAGGTGAAACACAATAGCTAGGAGGGAATAATCAAGTAGAGCCTTTGGTGTCATGGATCGCAGTCCAATAGAGCAATCAACTTCGGTCTAATTTTGGAGGGCTGAGCTCAAAAGTAATGGACTACATGAACGAAAATAGGGTGGAAAATGGTGTAGGACATCACACAGGGGGTTATGGACAATATATAAAGCGGAGTCAAGGAGAAGGGGAGAGAGTATAAATTAGGTACAACATTTTTGTAAGTCAGCTAGGCACCTCACATCTTCCTTCTTGAGGATCCATCAAATCTGTAGATGGATTGGGTCAAAGTTTAACAAACTATTATAGGCGACCCAAGCTCCCCAAATCTTCTCAAATTTGGCATAAGAATTAGCCAAGATAGCTATTAGCTGTTCATTAATCATCACGCCTGTGATGCGATTTTTAACTTCCATATAGCTAAGCACAGGGGATTTCCAGGATTTAGCAATGGTTTGTTTGGTGGCCATAATTAAACATGTGGGATATTAAGCACTGTTGATGTTTGCATAAACCCATTATAGGCTTATGTAGAAGCGCTTCCCACTGGTCTTTGTTTAGGTTACACCTCAATATAGTGTCAATTAGAGCATAGATTCAAGCCCATAAACATTTGGCCTTGGGGCAGTCCCGCCAAATATGTTTCATAGTGCCTAAATGTCCGCATCCTCGAAAACATTGAGGGGAGTGAGAGGGGAAGATTTTGTGGATGCGGGTCGGAGTGTAGTACCAATGAAACAATATTTTATAAGAGTTTTCCTGTGTTAGAACATTTCGGGAACAAGAGTTTATGTTCCTGCACATTGCAGACCAATCAGTTTTAGATATAGATGAGCCCATTTCCTACTCCCAATTGGTTTGATAGAGCATGATGGACTGTGTAAGATGTTCGGATAGAGAGGATTGGAGTAAGGTTATCAGGCCGGGCGAGTGTGGGTCACAGCTGCATCTGTCCACAACATTTTTTTTTTTGTTTAATATGTTTTATTATTATTTCACATAATACATATAGAGACATATAACCTCTTTCTATCTCCCAAGTAGCATAACTTGTACATACCTTTACTTAAAAAAAGAAAAGAAAAAAGAGATAAAAAATCTACTCCATTTCAGACGTTCTGTACATTACCTCTCACTACCACACCCCTTCAATCATTTTTTTAATGATCCTTTTTGCTGGTGAATTATCATCACAACGGCATCACATGTGTGATATCAGGCTTCACCAGTAAACTGCCTCAAGCTTGGTATGCTCATTAAATAACTTTTTATTACTAAATACAGAAACCAAAGTTTCTATCAAATCAGCATTTTCAATGTCACAGCAGTGGGTGGAGCCAACGTTCTTACATAAGAACATGAACCAGCTAATGCTCACAAAGAAAAGTGTGAAATGTATATTATACCTTTAGAACAATGTGCAAGGTCTTCTGGGAAGACCAGTTCTACCATTATGAAAGATATACATTTTGCAACGTTTAATACTTTGCTCACTTGATCTTTTACATGCTATTAAAATTTCCATTTTTAAATACAAAAAATAGCTGAATGGTGATTGGCTGCGTGTACAGTTGTGCCAAGGAAATAAGTGCAATTTAGTTATTTTTAAACAATTGATATTTCATGAACCTGCAAAGACCTAAACGTTCCCCATTAGAAATCAGAGTATATAAAAACTACTTACAGAGATAAATATAACACTGTCCAGTATCACAATATTGCATTTGCCAAAGAAACATCGGTTAAGATCTTTCTGCTAATA